TACTTGTTTCGTCTGACATATCTGTATCTTGCATTTTAGATGAAATGCATCATCGTAAGGTTGGCGGTTCGATCCCTGGCCCTCCATAGTCGAAGTGTCCTTGGGCAAGACACTGAACCCGAAGTTGCTCCCAATCGTAGACTGTATAAAAGATGGACGTAGCTACTGTGACGTCACCCGTTGGTTTCTGCACTGAGAAAATGAAGCCAGGGTTTTGCTACTTCCTGGTTGACATCTTGGATTTTTGGAGCCAGTGATGCAAAAATCATCAGAGAGGGGCGGAGCCATAGGAGCAGCGATTGGTCAGACAGATTGAGAGGCGGGCCCTCTCTGCCTCGCCCACATTTACCGCCTTCTGCTCGCTTCGTCTGCATCGTTGCTGCCAACTGTCAATCAAGCCAGCCACGCCCCTTGCCCCGCAAAATGTTGACGATTTTTTAAAAATTCATTATTGATTTATTTTCAGATTGGCCACCTGATCTCTGGATGTGACTATGAAAAATGATAAGAAAAAAATCCTGAGCTGTAGGAATGCGATATTTCATGATCTGTGATCACTTCTTTTCCAGTTCAAGTCTATGGGAGCCAGGGCTTTTTGGAGCCAGCAGCTAGTGGACGTAGGTTTTTGACACTTCCAGGTTGGCTTCATTTTTCAGGGCCGGTTGCTACGTCCATCTTTTATACAGTCTATGCTCCCAATGGAAGGCAGCACCTTGCATGGAAGCTCTGTCGCCACTGGTGTATGAATGGGTGAATGAGAAACACATTGTAAAGCGCTTTGAGTGCCGCTAAGATAGAAAAGTGCCATATAAGTGCTGTCCATTTACCATATATTGTTATTTGTTACATCTGTGTTTGACAAATCCAAATGATCACTCTGAGAAAGGTGCATCGAATTTCCTAATTTAGTATCATAAATATAAGCTCGATCTCAAGTTACGCAGCCGTGAAATGCATGCCTCCGTATGTTTAGGGTTGACATTTTGACTCGTCAGACACAATACATTTTGACACCTGTCAAGTACGAATAACATTAATCATGTTTCATTGCATTTAACTTTCCTGGAAAGCTAAGCCAGCGAGACAGCATGACCGATACAAGCTGTCTGGCACCGGAAACCCACCTGCCAGATTGCTTTTAATCACACATATGATGGTGTAAAAAAAAAAAAAAAAAAAGGCTCACTGGGAGATTGAATGTGGTTCATGGTTTATCTCAAATTACAAAACCATTAAATGCGGGAGTGATAACCTGAGGCTGGATTAATAGTTGAAGCAAAGGATTAGCAGTTGCTCCTGCTGCAGGCCCTTCCACTGTAGGTTCTGATTTATAGTTTATTACGGTCAGATTGCACCCGTTGCTATCACGTCTGCAACCCTGTATGCATGTGTTGTTTGTGCTGTTGCTGTAAGGTGGACTTGAGAGCCGAGAGAACATCCTGCAACTTAAGAAAACTTTATATTCCAGACAGTAACCGTGTCTACATTCTTTAATTTCCTCTGTGATAAAGAGTGATGTGAGCTGCACGTAAAGATTAGCAGCGCTGGAGTTGCATCGAGGTAACTTTTAATGCAACGGCGTCTCGTTAACTTGGAGTTGCGATTGCTGTCTTCGTGTTAATTCGTTCGTGCGGAGTGATGGATGAGGTGATTGTTGAGTTCGCGGTGGAACTATTGCTAAAAAGCAGATGACTACGGAGATTCTTCTTTAAACTTCCTTGATGTTCATTTACATCAAACTTCAGCAACATCAGGAAGACGCAGGGGGAAATGCAAACAGAGAGCCGAAGTTGTTGTGCTGCGCAGAGCATCTCTGTTGTTGCCATAGCATTAGTGAGGAATGCAGTTACGTTTCAGAGCAGATGCGTCTCCGGTAACCTTGCAGCCTACACATGTAGCCACCACTGACATAGCAAAGCCCCTGAATGCAAATGTATGAATCCAGGAAAAGAATAAGCTGTCAGCAAAGAATGAAAAGTTACCATTTGCATTCGACAGTATTCAATGTACCATCAAGACTATGTTATTTAGGCCAGGGCACAACACTTGAAAAGGCAAGAACCCTTAATTAACCTTCTCTCTTCCTGTTTTGTGCCATTACAGTCTAGCAGATTTCAAAAGTCTAACCTGGTGGCTTATAATGTAACAGTGTGAAGTGAAAGCTAGCACAGACTGCTAATGGTCTCAGTAATGGAGTCATTGGTAGCGGGTAATTACAATAATGTGCCAATTTTGATGTGATAGCGGCTTGTTGATGTTAAAATGCACCATGTGGCACCTTTAAAATGGTGAACAAAGAGGTACAAAAGCAGGGAAACAAAGACAGGGGAGGCAATGACAGTGAGGGACAGCATATGAATAGAAATGCCACAAAAGTATCCGATTATGGTCCGATTTTCTGTGCCGGGTCCAGAACAGAAAGGGGTTTGTTGTGTTCTAATGATGGCAGGAGGAGATTAGGAAAGAAAGAGGAGGCAGAAGGACAGATGATGGAGAGATAGGCTGACAGAAGTGGCAGCGGTGGTGGAAAAAGAGAGCGGGAAGATGTATGGGTCTGACGGAGGAGTGAGTCATTGAAGGGAGACTGGCCGAGATAATGGGTAAAGGAATGAAAGAAGAAAGGGGATAGATGAAGGACTCACTTAAGATGGTAATGCCGAATGCACTAAACGGGGGGAGGGAGGGAGAGGGGAAAATGGAAGGGTAGGAAATCGCTCATTGGGGACAGTTAATGTGAATTGGGCTCCGAGAGAAATGACAACTTCTTGGGTAACGGGACAGAGCAGAGCGACGGCAGGAGGATGGAAAGCGGGAGTGTGAACGAACGGGAGAGAGAGAGAGAGAGAGATGGTAATATAGGCAAGCAAAGCTTTAATGGGGCGGAGAATAACGAAAATGGGAAGAAGGAGGGAGGAGAAGGGCTGAGAAAATGCTGCGCTGTGTGCAGAGCAAAAAACAGACCGTGCGAAAGGAAGGAGGGGGAAAAAAAAACAGCATGTCATTGCAAATCATTTTGCAGTAGTGGGTCATGTCTGCTATAACTCTCGCACGTTGATTGATAGTCACACAAGATAAATGTCAGCATATTTGCGAAATCTCGGGCTTGCATAAATATGTACAGTGTCGAGCGTGCGCACCTGCACGTAGTTAGTTCTGCGTGATAACTTACGAAACAGCAGCATACTGGCGTTGGAAGCCCCCAGACGGTTTGAGGCGAAGCAAGTGTAGTTGCCAAAATGTTTCTCTGTCACGTTGGTGAACAGCAATAGAGAACGCGTCTTCTCGTTTTTGATCCTTAGGGTGTTGTCACTCTCTACCGGTCTGGGTGGCGGCGGCGGTGGGGAAGCGAAGGAAGGGAAATAAGAAAAGAAGGAGAAAAAAAAAGTGTGTGAGAGAGATAACGCAACATAACATCACACCTAGTGACTCAGCCTGCATAAGAAACTCTCTTGAGTGACGATCATGCAACATAGTCCCCCTCCACACATTTACTCTGTCTCACCTCGTACTAATAGTGAAATCTTACAGTCCATAAATAACTGAGGCCTCCTACTGGGGCCTATTATACTCTATTAACAGCTCTCTCTGGCTAGCAAAGCCTTTTCTAAGTACTTCTGCGTCTTGCTTTGCCTGACGCCACATCACCCTAACTCTTCGACGCTCTCTGGGACCTTTTACAAACTTAGTTGGACAGTATATATGTGGGTAATATAGAGGAAATATGTTGCCCACAAGCTATCCGGAGATGGCAACGCATCAAATGCTGTATATACGAACGTCAGAGGTTAGCTACATCAACAGCAGCATCCACAGTCAGCCAGCTGCATCTGGTTATATTGTTTATGTGGGAAAATACTATAAGGAAAGAGCTCAAAAATAACAAAAACAGCATGAAAAATGCATAAATCTCTTCCTCCTCCTTTTTGAAGTATCCGACAACAAGCTGTAGAGGAAGAAGGACAGAAAAACACAGTTACACAGTCTTAACTGGATAAATATGTGTTCTCTTCCCTCCTACTCTCTGTGATCACCTGCTGTACTCTGTTTTAACATCGCTAAACTCAGAATTTAATTACTCTCGTTAACATATTTTTCTTTTACCATTGATGGAAAATGTATAAGTGTAAAATTGTGGCTCATTAAAGCTCCGGGCAAACTGTGACTCCCGTGCTGCTGCACTGAGACGCCGGCTAATCGATGTCAATGCTGTAGAAATGTAACACCTGTACTGTGTGATTGCATGTGTTTACCATTAAAATGAGCGTGCATAGGGAGGGTTAGAGGGAAAATTGGCATCTAAACTCCACCACTGCAGCCTAAACACATGAACATTGCCTCGAAAACACTCAAACCGACTCTGCAAGGTGTTTTCAAAAACTTTAACAAATACACTCGTGACTTGATAACCTGATCCTTAACGATCCGAAAACCTTACTATACCACAGGTTTTTAGGAAAAACGAACGGAACCCATTAAAAATATATAACCTTAACATCCTGACAGCCTTGGATTCCGACTCCAACATGACGTTTTATGTCACAAATCAGGATAACGGCGTATTATCTGACTGAACAATTCCACAGATTGGCTACGTTCACACTGCAGGACTTAATGCTCAATTCAAAGTTTTTTGCGAAATCCGATTTTTTGTGAGTTCGTTCACATTTCCAATTAAATGTGACTTGTATGTGATCTGCTGTGTGAACTTCATACGACCCAAAAGTGTCCCGCATGCGCAGAAGAGGACACGATGACGTCACACGCAGCGAGCGTGCTCAGTGTTGGTGGAAGTAAACATGGATGGAGCGTATCTTGACAGCCACTCCCCCACCACCGTCGATGGTGGAAACAGAACTGTGACCGCTAACTAAACTGGCATCAGCAGCCAAGTACTGCCTGTGCATTCTGGCCACTTCCACCCCAGGGCTACTCTCCGACGGGGTGGAATTGGCCGGAACGTGCACAAGCGCACCGGTCAATTAGGCGTCAAATCCAGCGATGCGTAGTGTTCTAGCAATACACTAGTTATTATAACAACTATAAACAATAAATATTAACATTAAATTCCGCTTCAAGCATTAAGCCCTCCTTGTATCTCGACCTCTGTCTTTACAATCCGACAGCCTTGCTATCCAACATAAAGGAAGGTTTTACATTTAGTGTCGGGTTATCAAGTCACGACTGCACATCATCAGTGTGGACAAAAGGCAATGCAGAGGAAACGAGCATCTGAGATTCAGCTGGCTTAGTGTGGACATCATCAACCTAATTAGCGCTGAACTCGTCTCACCTATGGTCATCTCTGTACCACTCAAAGGAGGCTGGTGGGACTGCCATGGCTTCACAGCGCAAGATGGCTGTCTTCCCCAAATGCGCTGGCATGTTCTTCATGTCTGTGATCATGGGAGGATCTGGCAGAGAAAATGAGAGCAGACAAACAGAAAGAAGGAAGTAAAAAAATTAGCTATGAAGTAGAGTCAGGTCCTCCCACAAGGTTAAAAAATGTATGCATAATATTGCATCGAGAGCATTTGCATATATTATCAATACATCATTATGCGCTCCAGGTTCTGTAAAATGATCACCACTGGGCTGCTGGGTGGCACACAGACATACTCACAGTTGACCGTGACTTTGACCTTGCGCTGGTCGGGCGGTGCTACTCCGTTGTTGGTGATGCATTCGTAGTCCTCGGCCTGTTGCCTCTTGATCTCCGTGATGTCTAGGAACTCCCCCTCACTCACCAGCCCATCTAATGGCATAAGGTAGAAGTCAAAGGTCACCATATATCAAATGCAAGGTGAACCAAGCTGCACATTAAAGGTTTACTACCCGAGATACGAGTGGATTGACAAGCTTTCTCATGGCTAAGGTAATTTAAGAGCAGGACGGGAGGCCGAGATATCGGATTAGCAATTCATGATGCATTATTCAACATCAAGTTGGAACGTTGACATGTAGAGCTGAGTGATGTGAGGAAAATCAGTGCTATAGTGTCCACTCCAAACCTTGAAAATGTCCTCATTTTGTTTATTCTAAATGACAATTATCTTTTTTTTCTCGATCCATTAATTTGGATAACAGCGAACGACAACATGAAACGGTTAATAACACGACGCTGGGTCGATACGATGATATTGAATTACCAACAAGCCCTAATGAAATAACTGTAATCAAGAGAAATTGATTATGTTTCAGTTTGTCTCGTGTCCCTCAGGCTGGGTTCCTTCAGTTAAATGACGGGTCAGCAGTTAAAAATTTCATGTAGATGCGAAGCGAGTAAGCAAACACGCTTCGACAGCAGTGACACCATTACTTTGGTAGTGTGAGGGGAACACACCGGGGGAGATGGCTCATTCACCACATTACATAGTGAGGAGAATATTTGGCTGTTATTTGATGTTGACAAACTCCCAGGTGCACCCAAAACCAAATTAGTCAGTCTCGCACTTTCGCTCTTTTTTTCCTTGGGCGACGAAGAGCCGCGGAATCTCTTCAGAGGACAGAGTCGAGGGGACGGGCTACAAGTTATTGCTCCTTCATGTGAGGGAATGGATGCTGGGGGTGTTATTGGCTTGACAGTGGCAGATAGAAAGAGAGCAGAGAGAGGGAAGAAGAAGAATGAGAGGGTAGAGCGCACTCCCTCCTCCTCGCGAGCCTTAGCAGCCAGCTGTCTCGCAGCCTCCGAAACCATTACGCCTTTTTTCTCTCCCCTTTACCCCATTAAAGAAGTCAGACTGTGGAACACGACATAATATATAATCTCACCACTAACAAGGAAATCCAGCTGCTAAATTGCCGCTCACTTTTCCCCTTTCAAACCCCCCTCCCCTCCCCTCCACCCCCCAAACCCACTGTCAATCAGCAGACCTTTACTTCCCCCCAACAAACAAACAAACAAACAGCTCTGAAGCACGTTTGAGAGCAACACACACACACACGCGCGCACAAAAAAAGACGCTAAACGCCACGATTATTCCTGTCAGAGATTAGTGCAGCGGTTCTAATTGAAGATTATACTGGAGGATTATTAGTGCGGCTACTGAGCTGGAGACGATTATTTGCAGCTGCTGCGGCAGAGGCTGAGCAGTGAGCAACAACCGCGGTGATGGCGGCTTGTGCCACCCGAGCGAGCGCTGGTTAGGCGCTGGGTGACGGGTTGGGCTGGGTGCAATGGTATTCACTCATTCCATTAGTCTAATAAATATAGCTCTCCTCTGACATCTCTGTCAGGCAGGCAGAGGACCCAACTTTTGCCAGAAGGGGGGAAACTGTGTGGAAGGATGGGGGGAAAAAAAGGATAGAATCAGACAACTGACACTGGGGAAACTGCACACAAGGCTGTTACAGATAACTTCCAAGACACAAAAAGGACAAAGAAAGTAAAAAATGAGAGCAATCGAGTGCTAGAGTGCCCATTACAGACACAGAGTGTGGTAATTTGCCAGAGATACCGCGCGAGAGACAGGAAGAGATACACAGATATAAAGATAAAGGAAAAAAAAGAGAGAAACAGCAACACAAAGAGCGGACCGGTGAGCGATGTCTAGTTGCTTGTTTGAGACAGTTGGCGCTTTCATGAGCCTTTCATCCACAGCACCTATGCATGATGTAATACGACAGCGCAAAGCAGCCCTCTCGCTCTTCCTTTCCTTCCCACCCTCTTCATCCCCTGAGATCTCTGGACCTGCACCGCACACCTCTCTCTCCACTCCGGTGGGAGATCATATCTGAACGGAGTCGGCACCTGGCACTCGTACAATGGTCTGCAAAATACAGCTCCATCAACCACTTACGGCTTTTGAAGGAGCCTGACTCCTGACCACCAGAGATAGTTGGATTGCACCTGAGAAGAGAGCGGTGGAGGGGTGTGTGGGGTGTGGGGGTGTGTGTGGTGGGGAAGTGGCGGTTGGGGTCAGGATTTCTGGTTTGCCCAACAGTGAAACCGTGCTCTATTTCCGCAGCAAGCACTTGTGCCCGTCTGGATCATCAGGGTACTTGATTTCTCGGCTCTTCTTATCCATTTCCATTACAAAAAAACTACAGTGGAGGCAGAGAGGTCTGATGTCAGGCTGAAGCAGAGGAGGATGGACAGGCTGACAGACAGTAACACCTGCATGTGGAAGAGTAAGTGGCTCAAATGTGTGTTAGCTGAGCTAAATGACCGAGCGGGAAAAAATAGGACGGTCCGTTTACCCTAGTGATCTTCACACATGCCTGAAATTACCCGCTAGCATTTTATTCAAGTAGTTTATTCCATATTCTTTCTATCACAGCCTGCAGGACTTTTGAGGCTCGAAGCAGAAATGAGTACACCCGTGTGCGATATCACATAAATGCCAAATGATTCAAAATTGTATCTGCTTTTAATAATTGCATTATTTCTAAGTTGACATTTCAAATATTTACCTAAAACAAACACTTTAGAAGGACTGTACTGAAAACACACGTCAGAAAACCTATGATCATTGAAACAAAGGTGACTGAACACACTGGTGACGTCAAATTAGCTTAACTGCACGAACACGGCTAGAAAACAATCTGTGAACATCAGAATTGGCTTCATCTATGGGCTGTCTATCTGCATGTCTGCATCATGGCTCTACATCAAAAATAATCGCCAGAGGAATTGTGAGATTTCATAAAAATGGAATAGGATTAATTAGAGGTTGCAGTAGGTATAGAATGAGCCATATAACCACTAATCACTTTTTTTTGTGTTAAACGCAAAAACAAGCAGGAGAGAAAAGAATTAATGAAATGAAAACATTTTTCACCATCAACAAATGGCATGAAAAGATCATTCCCAGCGATGAAGTGATTTTTTACTAACAAGTATTGTCTGTGTAGCCAAAGCCTGATGAAGCTTACTGCATTCCCACTGAGATGCATTGTAGTCGAAAAACACGCTGGGTGACAAGTTCTTTTATTGTCATAACCGCAGCCACTGTAGATTATTTTGAGTTAATCCTACCTTCTGCACGCCATCCCGCTGATGTAAACACTCACTTACGTGTATTAATCCACGGCCTAAAATAGTTCCCAATAAACACGGCGCTTTGCTTCTGCTTGAGGTAAATTCGCTGAACATCACGGGGCCCGGCTCTTTTAGGAAATCATTTAAAATCTTTAAATGTTTTAAACATTTTTAAAACGTGTAAAATTCAACTGAAGATTTGTGACTAATTATTGAAGATTTCCATCCAATTGGGGCTCAGTGCTGAGAGGCACAATGTAGGGAAGTTGGAGTGAGGATTAACAAATTGTTGGTGTTTTCGTGAAAGGTTGCCGATATGAATCTTTAAAATAAGCTCATAATTATTTGATGCAGATTCCTTGCAGCCCTGCGATGGACTGGCGACCTGTCCAGGGTGTCCCCTGCCTTCACCCTAAGTCGGCTGGGATAGGCTCCAGCCCCCCCGCGACCCTAATGAGGATTAAGCGGTGTATAGATAATGGATGGATGGATGGATTCCTTACATTTGTTAATTAAACAATTGTGATTTTATAGTTGAAAACCTAACCTGTCTCTAGCAACGCTGTTCCTTTGCCTGATCTCCATTCACCTGATTTCCCCACCTGCCCGCCCGCCCCCGACCAGAACAACACCTGTCGCTGATCACATTTACTCAGCTCGTATACATCCCGACACTCACCAATCATCTGACAGATCCTCTATTGTTCCCTCGTGGGATTTGTTTGCTTACCGCTCGCCTATTGTTGCCAACCGCTGCACTAAATCAAACCCAAGCAAACAAAAATTTAATTACACCTGTTCTGTTGTTGAATCGAGCTCGTGGATCCACACGACAGCTACCAGAAATATCACACCATGATCTGTTGCCGCCAATTGTAAAGAACCTGTCGACTATATTTAGCACATGTGAAGCCTTTTCGCGTATCAACTCATCGCTGACTTTTTAAAAATTTTTCACGAAAACTCGCATCCTTCCTCTTCCCCCCGGTGACATCTAAGTCTGCGTTCCTGCAGGTTTTAATGGATGGCGTGTCAAATGATAAGCCTGTGTTGCGCTGCTGCATTTAACTGAATGAGACAAAGCGCCTGTATGTCTCCGTGTGGGTCAACTGATGGATGCCAGTGAGAGTGAATGGGTGCAACAGATTGTATCGGCGCTTTGGTGAAGATGAAGAAGGCTTTGCAAAGAACAGTATCGCTATGTGAGTAAGGACTCTGGCAACCGCAGGCGAGCTGCAGAGCGATAGAGGACTTTAAGCGGGTCCCTCTCACCTCTGAGGTGGCGCGCCTCCTCCTGCTCCACAACCTCCTCCTGGCACACACACATTTTCCACCCAACATCCACTCCTCCTCTCACCGCCCCTCCCTGCACTTTCTCCATGCAGCCTCTGAGTAATGGGGACAGATGGCGGGCAGCTTCTTGCTGTTTCTTTGGGCCAGACCAGACTCCCCCCCCCTCCTTGCCTTTTCTCCACTGGCCCTGGTCTCCTGCAACTGATGGCTTGGTTGCAGAGACTCCCACGGAATAGCAATGTGGGTCCTATCTCTTTCTCCGCGAGCTGAGGGGTTATGGTGGTGGCGAGGATGGGGTGGAGGGAGGAAAGCAGTGTGAGATGGTGGGGGCGGTTAGAGAGGGAGGATTACTGCTGACAGAGGAGAAATGCTGTAGGCTTTCAAGTGAGGACAACTGCAAAGAGTTTGTGATGTAAGGTTGTGTATGTGTGTCTGTGTGTTTGCTGCAGGTGTGCGTTCATGCATGCTTTTCCTTTTCCCCTCTATACTTTTGTGTGTGTGTGTGTGTGTGTGTGTGAGATCACTGCTGGGCTTGTCCCTGCCTGGGGTACTGTACTGTGTAGGTCCACAAACACCGAATGTGCAGAGAAGGACACTGCGTTCACAGCAGGCTAACCCGGGGACAAACAGAGGAGACAGGAGGAAGAACAGACCTCTGAGCAAGCCCAAAGCTGTCTGTAAGTACAGCAGTACAGTAGGTTGTGCATTTATTGGCCTAACGGTATAATTACATCGTGTTGAGTAGCTGTTCTCGCTGACCTATTTATTATTGCTGTCTCGCTGCTGCATTTGATCCGTGCTGCCGCTGCTGCAGTCAAGCTACAAGTCATCCAATACTGTTGTGTGATAAAAAGTGCTTTAACCACTGGTGACACTGACCTTCAAAGCGATGAAAAGTCTGAAATAAGTATTCTTATTCTGATCCAGCTTCCTGTGAAATTCATCCGTCGGATTCAGAAGTTCAGTCAAAGATATTGAGAACTTTTCTGGCACACATGCTGATATTAGAGACGACAACCGACGTTTACCCAGCGAGCAAGACAAAACAGGTAAACAATAAAATATCATACGGCGGCACATTCAATATATTTTCTCTATGTAACAGATAACAAAGGACGCATTCCAAAAAAGACCACGTAACGGCCATTTGCCTGACTTTGAACATCAGCGATGACAAAGATGAGCGCACACATTGAATAAATTCTGCGCTGATCAACTCAAATGGATCTGACTTCATCCAATCAAGCCATGCATCCCGACCACCCCGAACCAGCTCGGATTCCTCACACCAACAGAGACTAAAAATAGCTGATGTAATGCCAAAAGTGGCGGTTGGCACCATGATGCCATTTGACAGGGTGGATGAAGACAGATGCTGATGATTACGGGTGGCGCGGTGGGGATAATTACGTGTAATGTGTGGTTATTTGGGACAAAACACCGGGACATGGGGGAAAATGCGGGAGTATGAATTTAAGATGCGGACGGACTAAACAGCTGGGTTTAAGAATGATGACACGGGAACGAGGGATAAAGACGCGGACGCGAGCGGAATGCTGATAACCTTACGGACTGGAAGGGGGAAAGAAAATATCAGACTGGAACAGGAGGAACAGGGTTAGGGATGAATGTAAAGGCAAGGAGATAAAGGTGAAGCTGTGAACAAGAGATCTCTGGATCTGAAGACAAGCAAACACGAAGGGGGTAGCTTACATTTCTGGTCTTTCCAGGTGACGGTGGGCTCAGGCCGGCCGACTGCCAGACAGTAGAGGTTTACATTCTCCCCCTCGTTCACGGACACGTTTTTTGAGATGTTGACGATTCTGGCCGGCACTGAAAACAACAACAACAAAAAAAGATCATTAAAATATGACCTCAAAATCCCTCTTTTTTTCCCCCCCATAAATTATTGATAAGGTCTGGCCTTCCAGCCTATTAAGGTGTTTAAAATATGATCCAAATCGCTGCACCTTAAACAGACAGGCAATCAGCTGATTAATGATCTGTGCCTGAGTGCTTACTGAACTGTGCAACAATATGCTTGACCGTCTACTTAAAATGCACCGAATTCTAAATCGCTGCAAATGGGCATTAAAATCTCCTTCTTTTGACATCTAATTTGATCTTTAAAGAAAAGGACATTTGTAAAAGTGGTAGTTGGTGGAATTTTTTTTACTTCTACTTCTTAAGTAAATGACCACCCCTGAACACCATATTGCCCTAAGCACCAAGTGTTGGGGTGCTATGCATGTAGTTAGTTTGATAACTAGATGGCCCTTGAATTTAAATGGCCCATTATCATTGTTTTTAATGAGCTTGGCCCTGAGATTGCTTTTTTTTTTTTTTTTTTGCGAGACATCTACCGAAGCTCCTTTTCTCTATCTTGCTGGAGTTGAATACTCGCAGCGATAAAGCACAGATTGAAGTGTTGGTGTGAAGCCTCTCTTACTTGATGCACTGACTTCGGGGTGTAATTATTTTTGTGTGATATCAAGCTAGGGCTGCAATTGCGGGCGACTTGGAATTGGGTATATAATTGGGTATATATGGTCATCTGTGTCAAGCTTTGCGAACAAGAGCGTTGGTTTGGCTGTGAAGTCTCTGTCAGTAAGGCAGTTGTCTCTGCAACCTGTGAGCCAAGGCCTTGTGTTTTCATAATGTACTGAATATATCCTGTTAAAAGTTTCATTCTTGCCGGTGATGTATTGCTGCAATCTGCACTACACATCCCCATATATGCATAAAAAACTGAGACACACACACACACACAGGGCTGAAAAACATCTGAAATCCATCCTCCGGGCAGCCGTGCGTCAATACATCATGTCGCTCAGGATAAGTCAGACTCTCACTCACTTAGCCGCTGACTTGATGACTGAGTCGTGGTCCTGCACTGCCAGTTATTTAGTCAGGCAGTTGGACAGCCTCCTGTGTACCTACTCAACATACAGCCTCATCCATCTGATCTGCCTAACTTTCTGCTTATAAAGACAAGCAATCTTAGCAGGCCACAAGAAAGTAACAGATGGGCTTGAGCTTGGCTCTTGTTCCAACTGACTTTCTGCTTATCTGTCACCTGCACCGGGCTTGCTTTTAACGTAGCCGCACACACACACAAGCCAACTAAGCTTTCAAGACATAAGTAGATTGATTTTGATATAAACACCGACCTCGAATACTGAGACGCCATAATGACTAAGTTGTCTGTTGTAAATTTTAAGCATATATTCGACTATGATTTCACAGACGAGAACATAGCAACATTTTAAACGTAGCCATAGAAAATCCTAATTGCCTCCCATGAAATCAAACCTCAGTCACACACAACAGACACCATTATGCTTGGATGAATACAATATACATAATTAAACAATTTAGCAGCTCCAGTACCATGGATACAGTAAAAAACATTCTATTTTCTTTACAGCTGCAGTGGCAATCAAATCTGCATACTGTGGATATATTAGAGAAATTATCCAGAACCGCTGAATGCAGTAAACAGCCACTGGATTCCGGTTCTGTCTCGACTTAGCTGCTGACCTTGGACGATGAGGTAGACGTGGGCAATGCGGGGCTTGTTATTGGCCTGGAAGGTGCAGGTGTAGGGCCCCTCGTCGGTCACTTGAACTTTGTCGATGTGAATGGAGAAGTCGCTGTTGTTGCTGTTGACCAGTGTCACGCGCTTGTCCAGCGACCACTTATCTGTCCCCGTGAAAAGGATATTGGAGCGGTTCAGCCAGGCCTTGTGGGTCACCTCCTCGTCAATCCGACATCTATGAGACAACAGAAAGTGATTAATAGGTGAGAGGCCCGTTTCGCTTTATGTTTGGATGGATCGTGGCTCAGAGGAGTTTTACTGTACACTGTATACTGGCCTCTTAAAATCATTTTATACTGCAATAGGTGGACGTCGGTATAGGTATATAAATGAGTGACGGGTAAAAAGCCACATTAAGTGTCTTAGTACAGTGTTGAGCATCCGTGAGCCACCAGAACAGCTTTCCGAACCAATTTCCATGAAACAATCTTTATTTTGGCATTTTCACAATAAACTGGAGCATTGTTTGTTCAATTAACTAGAACAACTGGGAGTGTGTCTTTGTCATTCACTCTTACAAATGAACCAACTTTTTATGCAATTATTGCTTCACAAAGGTGGAGCAATAATTGGTCCCATTAGCAAATACTTGGCTGAGAATAGTCATAAAAACAGCTTGTGAGTAATTCAGTGCATGAGGCGTGGCGATGGGGTATTGTCGCTTTGTTTGGTCAGTGACACAACTTTGAAAATGATTGTAGGTCAAGATACATAAAATCCAAGTCTTGTACTTCACCTGACGAACACTCACTAAATGGAGACAGATAATGGAGATTTAATAATAAAATAATGGTGTATAATGGCGCGCTAAAACACAGTGTTCACCTTCGTGGTTCCCAAAGACTTGGGACACCTCTATGGCACAATGTGACTTCAGTTCTTGGCTCGGCCACTAGATGTCCTTACCCTGCTTTAGCTTGTATAATGATATGCCTCTGTAGTTCTCATGTTTAATTGATATGACCTGGATAAATATCAGCGAGGTAAATCTTAGATCACTTGCCAAGTCGGTGACAGTGACACCACAATGCATAACAACCACAGCGCAGGTAAGCTTGGAAGTCTTTAACAAAGAGGCTACAAGACATGGGCCGATGTTCAGGGTGAAACATGACCTCGAAGCCAAACACTCCTGGCAGTTCGGGGAATGAAGGTGTTGTGAGGAGAGGTGTGAAGTGGCATGGACTAAACATTGCTCCAGCAACAGTGAGATGGGAAAGTAGCCATTTATTTGTGCTCTCCAAACAAATAGCAATCTCCAAAAGGAAAAAAAAAAACTTAGCAAAGTTTAGTAAACAGTTAAGGTGCTGTGATGTGCAATGAGATCCACAGTTATTCTCTCATAAAGCACATCCATGATGGGGATGGTACACTTTGGAGGAGGCTACAACCTGACAATCATTGCCTGTTTTAAAGTATTTCAGTACATTTTTATATAATCCTGGCCGACAGACTCATTAAGCAATGCAATTATAACTCTCGGCCCTGTCCTAGATGCTCAGCGCAGGCTATAGTGTGGCCCACATGGAGGATTATGTGGTGGAGCAGCTCGCCTGGATTTCTCAATGTCAGCAAAATATATTCCTATTACACTTTTAATCCCCCAAATACTAGTTTCTGGCCCTCGTCTGTCCAACTTGTTTCATTGCTGCTCACGTCTTTGATCATAGATAGAGAGACAGATAGATAAATGCATAGATAGAATGATATCTAGGAGCAAGGACACTAAAACATGCTGAAAACTTAAAAGGCAATAAAATACCTGTAATATGTAATATAAAAAACAATGTCCAGTGTGCACAGGAGATTTGCACAATGTAAAAATCTCAACATGTAAAAAAGAAAGTATACCCAGCATCACACAGCCGTTCCTTGTACATGGAGTGCACCAGCATGATTCCTATTCCTGTCCATTAAACAGTGTGATGGCAGCTAATAGAAAGGACCTCCTGTAGCGTTCAGTCCGACACCTCGGATGAGTCAGCCTGGGACTGGATGTGTACTGCTGGTTTACCTCCAGGGCGTGGACTGGGTGTATGGGATTTTTGACTTCAGTTTTGAGAGAACTCTCACCCCTGTCACTTGCTGAATAAGGCCCATTTCAGTCCCGATGATGGAGCTGGCCCTCCTGATCAGTTTATTATTAATTCTGTTCTTGTCTGCCGTGCAAGCGCCTTCTCCCCACTGAACATGGCACAGATCACTACAGTCCGTTAGAATGTTCAGAAAAGAGACATGCAAAAGGTGAAAGGCCTGAGCCTTCCGGGGAAAAAATAAAATCCCTCAACGTGGGTGTTCCAGTCAAGTTTGTAGTCCAGCTGTACTCCTGAGTCTCTATGGCTGGAGACAAGTTCCACCTCAGTACCTTGAATAGTAACTACTGGCATGGGCCTCTTCCTCCTAAAATCCACAAGCGTATCTTAAGACTTTATGATGTTGAGCTGTGGAGGATTGTGGTTGTACCAGTGCACAAAGTCCCTGGTAATGCGCCTGTACCCCTCACTACATCCTGCCTTAATACAGCCAACGACTACCGAACCATCTGAGAATTTTTTGAGAAAGCAGCTGACTGATCTCTATTGGAAGTCTGACAGATAAAGACAGGACAGGTCCTTCTGGTGCACCCATACTGCTGATGACCCTTCTGTTGACACATACTGTGGTCTGCAGGTGAAATAATCCATGACTCAAGAGAGTATTTCTGACTCCACTGGCATCCACTTCATCTTCTCACATAGCAGTCCTGGCTGGATTATATTAAAGGCACCTAAAAAAAAGTCAAAGAACATGGACCTCACACGTGTTTGAGGATTTCACACAGCAGTCTGGGATTAATTCCATCTGTTTCAGCCACTTATCCCTGCTTCAGTTTGTCTGGTTCCCTGTTGACCCGAGATGTGTTGAATGTCAAGGGTGAGGTTATCGGTGAGATGGTGACGTATGAACCACAGGCAACAGATGTACTGGTGTGGATCTGTTAAACAGATTCAGGTCCTGATCTCCATTTAGCAGTGGTCCTCCATTCTGCTCTAGACCCATGATGCCAGTCCATACCTACATCACTGATTCCAGTTTGTGCCAATAGAGTTGTTTTCCCTCCACAGTCTTCACCTTCAGTTCTCTTTGCAGTGCCTTTGCTCTGTCACTGTCATGTCCTGTGGAAACCTTTTTCTTCTGGTTCAATATGGGTTTTTACGTTGCTGGTTATTGTTAGAAAAACACCAGATTTCTCTGCTGAGTATGTTAACGTCAACACAGAAATCGATGTAGTCAGCGACACAACCTGTTCCTCCATAAATATCATCCCCCATATGACTCACAGAAAATGTTCCAGTCTGTTGTTTCTAGGCAGCATTGCAGATATTCCTCGCTTCCTGGGACCAGCATTTCAGAATTTCGTTGGCTACTGGCATTTTATTAACAACTGGGATGCTGGTGGTAGCGAGATGAACCAGATTGTGGTGATTCCCTAAGGAGTGGCAGTACAGTGGATTTATATGCATTTTTAAAATTAGCATACAAACGGTCCACCGTCTCCTCCACCAGTGTTGTGCACTAAAAAAAAAAAAAAGCTGTGTGAATGTGGGCAGCATGTTATAGAGAGAGGCATGGTTATTATCTGCAGACAGGAGAATGGCTGCATCTGTGTATCTCGCATGTAGTCTTGCGACAGCAGCATGTCCGACGTCACAAGCAGCTTCCACAATTACATATAGGACAATGTAGACAACAGTAGTGATTACCACCACTAAGAGATCAATGTCTTTGTGGCATATTTGTGTCCTGATGGTAGCATAACCAGGAGTTACACCATCTGTTGTTAATAAGCAATTCAAGCCCACCTCCTTTTTGCTGACCAATCACTTTGGTGTCCCTGTCAGCCCGTGTTGTCAGGAAGCCCCTCACACTGGTGTTCCAGTTAGGATTAGAGTCTTGTGTCTGTGAAGCACATAAGGCTGCTTTCCGATGCTCATTCTGGCTCCTGACAAAGGTCTCCTCCATTTTGTTGGTGAACATTTCCCAAAGCTAGAGACATACGAATGGTTTACAATTTCTCCTCCATGCTCTTTCTTTGTCTGCGGTCTTTTTTATTTCCGACTCAAATACCCTGACGTCTCCTCTGCAATAATTCAGATGACATATTGTGTCTTGTCCCCACAAGTTTAGCAAATGGCGCTAGGTCTAGTAATATCTGTTGGGAGTGGACAATAGCCAGCTGTACCTGGATCCACTCCTCCACTCAGAGGTCTTAATGTGGTTCTTGAAAACATTACGCCTCTGTCCCTGGTCCTCCCAAATGCACTTTAAGTGACATAGTGCTTTATTAAGGCATGACACAGCCTGTGCTGTGAGCTCCTTACGTTTTCTTATTGTTAAATCCCAGACTCGAGCAAAATTCGTTAAAGTTGTCAACTGTTGCCACTTGCCGGGTCTCAGCCTTTCTTAAAATCAGGAATTTTAGATTTGCCTACATGGGACCTGCAGTCCTGTTCGGTAGGTGGGCATGTGGTTGATAAAGAGCTGGAAACTGCTGTAATGTGAACAGGCACCCTGGCATGATGTAGGGTGAATCTTCAAGGTGGCACCATTGATGATGGGTGAAGGAGCTGTTCAGTTTTCTGCCTTAGAACACCAGGAGACGCAGGAAGCGGATAATGTTGGATAGTATGTTCATAATGTTCATCACGTATCCAGTCCAGCCTCCACCTTGGTATCAGGCCACTTGTTAACTGTTTAATCTGTTTGAAAAGCATTGCCTATCTCTAGCCAAGATGACTGTAACTGGTTTAACTAAACACAAGCAAGCCAGAGCGTTGTCCCCCTATGACAGACTGGCAGTGAGGTGCAGCCAGACCATTTTCTATGGCAGAATGGGCTGGCTAAGCAAGACTACATGAATCTTGTCTTTTAACACTGACTGTAGCCACTTTTGGCCACAGCCCTGATTGTTGCACACCTTCTGGGCTACTGCTCCTTCAGACGGTGGCATTTCTGTCCTCGATGCCTGCCAAGGGGATCTAATTGTTGCAAGGAAAGGTGGAAGCTAGCATGGCGAGCGTGTGGAACCCACAACATCACCCGGGCCAACGGGAACTCGAAAAATAAGAAGCCATTTATTTGGAAGAGCTACTGAATGGAGTTAATGAATTTAACAGCATGTGTGCATGATTCAAACAGCAACCAGGCATCACTAGTGAACATTTACAACAAACAAAACATTTGTGCTGTATTTATCTTAATCACTTTTACTACATCTACCACACACGAGAGGCTTTTGAGGCCTGTTTCATCTTTCACCTGACAGGTGATTTTAGAACTTAAAGTCATTTTAATATGTCATTTGTTTTCATAAAACCAATGAGCTCAACTTTAAGGAGAAGTGCAAATCTGACTGTAGCCAATAGTATTGTAAAATTAAATAAAATCAACAACAAAACAAAAGAGCATGTGATTAATGTCCACCTTTCCACACAAAAGGCCGAGCATGTAGTCAGGAAGGGAGCTAGTTCTTCCCAACAGACGGGGAAGTAAAACATTCACTGGATTCATTAATGGTCTATTTATGGCTGGTGGGTTTAGATGGAGAGACAGCGTAGTAAGATATCCCATCATAAAAATTCATTATCTGTGTACAAATGCAGTAATAATCTATTTTTAAAATTAATCACTTCTTTGCTGATGATGTTGCTACAGGACTGCAAGCCCAGAGGAAATGAGCACCATAATAGCATCAAATGTGCTTCTTCTTAATGGCCCGCATCAAAGCCAACACAACAGCATTGTCTCAAGCATAACAGAAGTATTTGTGCCACTTGGGCAAAAGTGATTTTTACATTAAAATGGAGTTTATTTATAAAGCTCTTTAGTCTTTTGTTTGACAGCTGTTTGCTGTCCACCGCAGATTAAACTAGCACACACATCTGATTACAAAATATGCCAATACAATGCTGCGCTGATGGAGTTCGAAAGCCATCCAATGCACGCTGTAATCAACACTGGGACCACAGTTTTACAGGCAGAAATAAAAGCGATGCATTTAATGTGGCATAACCGCATGGCAATTTGTGATACCAAACTGTAAAGAAACAAAGTCACCTTGAGAGCACAGATTTGAAGCGCGTTCAGTTTGAGGTTTTTTTTTTTACGTGCGGAAAATAAATCCTGTCGATTTGACTTCACAGCATCAATAGAACAGCTGCGGGTTACGTGTCCGTTCTTTGATATCCAACTTTGAAAGAGACTTGTTGACCAAATATTACAGTTCCATCAAATATTGATAGAACTGTACTTGCCTTCAGAATAACACATTTCATTTTAGTGGAAAGGCCCACTCTTGTTTCCAGGGAATAAAGGGGACAAAAAGGGGAATTTGTTCAGAGCTGGTGGAGAGGTGTAGGCTTAAAAGTGATGAAAGTAATGTTGACTTTCTCTCTCTCTTTTTTTTTTTTTTTTAACACTGCTGAGTGTACTGCCAAGCCAGGTCACATCCACGCGAGGGGGAAAAAGCAAGTTGGCTGTTTTTCTGCTTGGTTGGGAGCCGAGAAAAGCTGTGATTTCAACTTTATCACTCACAGTTAGGCAGGTGTGGTTGGACAGAGGAGGAGGTCCACCCACCGAGCTGACCTGTGCATCATTATTGTTAAATCTAAGTAAAAAGAAAAGATGACTGCAGCAGGGTTAGAAGACTCCAGCGACAGATATTATTTAGTTAGCTAGGGAAGCCAGAGTTGGAAAACATGCCAGAAGGTAGGACGCCTAATCGAAGTTATGTGACAGAATTGGCAGATTAACCAGCGTGACAGGTGGCGGAGGGGCAAACATGTTTTTCATGTAATCAGGTGGTGCAGGTGTAGGATCAAGAGTTACCTCAAAGTGACGCTTTCGCCTTCCAACACTGTAATGTTGTCCGGCAGGTGTCCGAATTCTGCTCCGTGCACACAGGACCCTGCCAAGAAAAATGAGAGAAGTGTGCAATGAGCATCCAATAACGACACCAGACGCTCCGCCGGTGTTCATCAATCCCGGGTCAGGTGCTCGGAGATCGACTGCCTCCCCCTAAATCACTCGGGGCAGGGATGTGTCCCGCATCCTGCTCGCTTATTTCTGAAGGGAAAGTAATAAATATACTAAACAAAAGAGTCACAATGTCTGCACTGACCCCCATACTTGAATAATGATTTGGTTTTTTACCCTGCATTCTGGTGGGATGCGCGTTCATTGAACAGCACTGATAATGAGCCGAGGGAAGAGGATTCACGCGGAGCTGCCGGAGCGTGAAATGAAGGGACAGCAACGGTAACAGAAGGGATGCTCATCCTGCCTACCAATACATACTCACGCACACACACACACACACACACACACACACATGTACAGAACAGAGGCGCATGCTTACAAAAGCACAAACATATATTTCAATCTCGCACAAGACACACATCCTGAGAGCTATTAGCTGAAGAGGAAATACAGACTTGGCATCTGTAAGTGTTTGACACACTCAGGTAAGACTAAAAAAAGAGAGAAAAAAAAACAGTCATTTTTGCAAACTTGCTTGGACTGCAAACAAAGATAACTAAAGATCTTATATGCTGGCAGCAATATTGCCTACTGAGGCAGTCCACACCCCAGTAAGACACCTGGCTCTGTCCATCTAAACTCTGCCAAAACACAGCATGACACCAGATACCGCAGCTTGTGTCCCCCCCTCTCTCTTCATCTCTGACAATCTTTTCTTCCCTCTGCCTGCAAGATGACCTCAATATCTCAATAGGCTTTAGCTCCTGTCTAGCCTTGAGGTTTAATAAATGGTGACTTTATGAAACGAAGCCGCTGCAGTCAGGTGCTAAGAAGCACCTCAAGGTTTGTTAAACAGCCTCACAAAGTCAAAGATATGTTAAGCATACCATATGAGAACTTGCTAAGAGATGAGACCCGCGAATGACGGCGACGCACCGCTGAACGGATCGGAAATGTGGGTTTTAATTTAAAGGAGGGTCTTTGTGGAATCATGGTTTGATTACAAAGAATAATGAGCGCGGCTTCCAACTTACGATGCGCATCATGGATCGCTAATCAAAAGGTTTTCCAACTGTGTAGCAGAAAGTCCTGCCAACTACACTAAAGTAAGTAATTTATCATCTCTTAAATAAAGACTAATTATGCCCACTTTCGTTTGCCGTGTTTGTGAATCTCAGCGTGGTTTGGCTGATCTGTGTGCATCTGCTGTGGCGAATAAACTTTATTCAAGCATGTGCATGAATATATTCATGTGTGTACGACTCCGCCGCATGTGTTGCTCGCATAAAAGCAGTTATTGTATCTAGGTGTCTGTAGCTGCCGGGTGCGAACGTGTGCATTTGTTTACTGACATACTGACAGGGAACAAGAAAAGAGGACAAACTAATGACGCCTCAAAAGAAAACTGGCCCTGAAAATCTCCCACTAAAAGCTGTAATCGCATTAATGGGTGCTGCTGCTGCCACTGCTGCTGTGCTATCTAGGCTGGCCAAGGATCCGAGGACCGGCTCCATCTCTCTCTCTCTCTCTCTCTTGGAAAGCCTTGGGGGAGGGGAGTGGCACATTAGCTATTGTGTCCAATGTTCAAAAACTGTCACAAGCCTTCGTTTATCTGTGGGTTTTTTTTTTCTTTTTGCCATGAAGTAATGTTGCATGGCATTGCCGTGCTCATGCGCCCTGTCTTAGGCTCAGACAGTCCTCAGCTCAAGCCCTCAGCTGTTCCCTTTCAAGTGCTCTGTACTCTACACACTAGACTTTATTTAGGTTAATTCAATTCAGTTCCAGGGCTTGGGGCTTGGAGACGGGTGTGACATGCTGTCATAAACGCACTACTCCACATACGCAATTACAGACACGCACATGCGGAGAAAAGACGCTCCCGATCACATAATGTAACTACAGGGACTCGCGCGCACCGCACACATGCGCTCGTTTTGATTGAATGAATGATGTATGCTGAATGCTCCAAACAACATTGCGAAGGTTACAAACCAGCGGGGAGCAATTCCCTTTTCCCTACTCAATTCCCATTTTCACAGCTCGATTGGCACCTCGCATTCTCAAAAACCTGCATCGCCCTGCCTCCGCTCCCACGTGCCACGCGACATGATAACCGGGTCAACACATTCACCCTGCGCTTCCTCTCCTCCGCCGAATCGCAGGACAAAATCCCAGGGATGCAAAGTTTAGGAATACATATGCCAACGCGCCCATCGATTGAACCGAACTGTGGAGACGAAGGAGTTCAGGGTGTGAGCGCAGAGAAAACATTCCCCCGTGGAAAACAACAAATGTGGTTTCTTCTAGATACACATCGGCTGAAATTCCAACAGAGGAACACACACAGAAAAATATTTAGCATTCACTCTGTCTGATTCCTGCACACACTTTCTACTTTGTAGCCCTCTTCGAATGCATTAACGCTACAGGACCAGTGTTTGAGTGACTTGAGACCACCTCTTTTCTGAGACACAGGTGCCTTCAGGGCAGTGCTGGATTTATGCTCCTTTTTTTCCCCCCACCTACTTGCCTGCAAAGCATTGTGTGAGAAGAAGCTGTATTATTACAAGCCTGACAGGTGGACCGCTCAGCTTTGCTATCGAGACAATGTCAAAAACCCAATGACAACACATACAGTGTATAGGAAATAAACGTTTGCTGTTGTGTATTACGACCGCTTTTTTATTATCATCTGATAATGACCACTTTAGCAGCTTGTATGATGCATTTCTTAATCTGACACAGCTGTGCTCATTTTCTGTGCTAAATGAGATCTTGAGCCCAAAATTAAGGAGTGTAGCATTTCGCGTCAAGAGCGTCGCGCGTTACAGCTGACAACACTGGTGTGAAAATTAGCCAATGCAGTTAAATATAATAAATAAATATATATGTTGTTATTGTTTCGTGCGTCCGCGGCATGGAGTGGGAGCGTTGGGTGCAAAACCAAACGCAAACATCATCCGACTGAATGACAGGAGGACGCGTCTCCCGCTCATTATTTATTCCTTTCAGGCAATTAATTCAAACGTTGCCGGCCAAACACACCGGACATGATCAAACAGAACAATAATGAGGCCAGAGTGCAAGCGGCAGCGTGCCGTTGCGTGGCCAAAGCAGAATCCTCAGACGTCACTTTCAATTTCTGAGTTACGTTTGGCTTTATTGATCCCTGTCTCGAGTTCTCCCTTTTCTTCCTTCACTTCCCTCCAGGGCCTCAGCATGCAGGCTGAACTGCACCCAACAGGATTATTCAGGAGTCTTGCCCATTGACACTCCAGAAACGAGGGGTACTTGCCAACGGGGAAGCTTAAACAATTTGCTACCCTGCAGACTCTAAATGTGGAAACATACACAGAAAAAGCTCTTTGTCTTTTACCTACTTAGCACACTAAAACAACACTGTGAGAGGGGGGAGAGAAAAAAACACGGTGAGCTTACATAAAACAAAACTGAGCTGAGTATGAATGATAAATCACCATGTAGAGCAGTGCTGGACGGAGCTGCTGGTGAGCACTGCAGTGGCCTCTGGTGTTGGTGTGGCCACCGGCATATTGAATTTCCCTGCTCGCTGCTGTCTACAGCAGATACAGTCTGGTCTGGCTACTGGTATCTCTTGTCCTTGCTATGACCTGCTTTGCACACAAATGCAACCCCCCCAACCTCCATATCATACATGCACACGAACAGGCACAAACAAAAATTTGAATGCTGCCCAAATTACCCCCTCAAGCCTCTGCCCGCACCCGGCATTGAGCCTGAAGTCAAGATTTGTGAGGGAATAAAATTTTATGGACATGCCTGAAGGATTACACGCAGGAAAACACTGGGCTAGCCGACAATTAATTCACCTATACTACTTTTTTTTTTTTTTTCCATTTCGGCTCTGTTGTTATGCTCCCTTCAAAAGCAGAAACCTGTTTTGCTCATCTGTGGATAACACTTAATCTGTTGGTGCTCCATATGTAGACGTTCACGCAATTCCCTCCACTTGTGGTCCGCCGTTTTTGTCTCTGTGCTCTCCTGCGTGGTGTCTTTTGTCTGTAAAAGCATTGCAAGGCTGCTTGCTCAGTACCCACGAGACATCTATTATGTGATTTGTATTCTCTTGACTTTTACATGCGCCTGTTTGTAATTGCACTTGCTACTGGCAGACACTTATGAGTGGAGCTCTATTGAGCGGTACAACTTTAGCCCGCAAAGTCCTTGAAAGGCTGTCTTTGTACTGTTCATCTATTTCACATTGCACTTGACGATCAAATAAACACAGAGAGGAGGGAAAGCGACTTCTGAAAGCTTGATTGGCGTCAGGACGGATAACGGCGGAGGCTATAATGAAACCCATAACAATAATCCGTTTTAACCGGTGCCGCTGTGGTGTTGAAATTGAAAGACGAAGGAGAGAGGTATCGCACGAGGTGGAAGGGAAAGGTGAAGATAGATAACCAGGGTGAGGTGAGGTCCTGGAAAGGAAAGTCATTGAGAATAAAAAAAAAAACAGCTGTAGTGGAATATGGATTTAGAGAGCAAGTAACTGCAGTGGCAGAAGTAGCTGTAGCAGTAGTATTAAGTGATAATAGCAGCATCGGCAATAAGAGAACGCAATGGAGGAGCATCAATATGACGAGGAGAGAGAAGTACAAGGACACAGCCGGGAAAGCTGGGGCAGAGAGCAAAACAAAGGAAAGACACACCCGCATAATTAACACCGGCATGCTGCAGCCAATTAAATATTTACAGAGGCACTTTCCTTCGACACCTTGATGATGAAGAAAGGCAGCTCAAGGATTATCAGATGCCGGGAGCCGCAGGCAGGAGACAAGGGGTTGGGGATGGAGGATTAAACATTAACCGGCACCGATATCCCTTTCTCTTCCTCGTCTGATCCCATTAACTCTGGACGGCTCAAATCCAACCTCGTGTCCACCTCTC